GAAAAAAAATTAATAATATTGCAAATATGACACTGCAATGGAACCTAAAGAGTTTTGAATAACTTGGGTTAAATTTAAACCAATAGCTGCTGATCTAGACAACTGAAACTAGTTATTGTCTTATGGTCTGTACAAGAGCAATTATAGTTAAAATATTAATTGTAGTTGACCAATCAAAATATGTATTTTTAAGGACTTGTAAAATCCCATTAATCCTATTAATTTGTAATTATAACAAAATTTTTATTCAAGTATTTTTTTTATTAATGTTATTTTAAAGTAGTGTATGAAAAATATGTGGAAGATGATATGAAAAGAAAGCAACTAAATATATTTTACATAACCTAAAGAGATACTAACTTCTTAGAACAGTTTCAGAAATATTCAACCTAAGAACTTTGGTAACACATCTTTTTTTCATTTTCGGTATATTAGTATAATCAAAGCTATCATCAATATTTCTCTTAACATTTATTGTAATATGTAAGCGTTTTTCTTTAATGTAATTGAATTTACAATTCAATAAATTTTTACCAAGGAATGAACGGAAACTTAAAGTACGAATATGTAAACAACTTGAAATATTTCCGTCTACTTAATGTCCTTGAAATTAAATACTTTCCTCGCACTTTAAACAAACAACAAAAACTTCGCCATTTCTTCGCTTTCTTGGCGCCAAACTTTACTTTCATCTTTCGCTTTACTTTTTCTGTCTCGCAAATAAATTTACTGTTTGCTAAACTTTTTCCTTTAAACAGCATAAAGTTCCCGTCGATATGTGAGTGTATGTGTGTATCTATGTGTTAAAGTATCCTTCTATTATGTCTGAACGTTTGATTCTGTGATACTTTGCTACATATTTAAAACGTAACGAGATCAGTATAACAATTTAACTTGGTTAAAGGATGTTGGCAAACTACTTTTGTATTTCTACATAAACTTTGGCATAGAGACAAACTTGCGAATTGAGAGACAGACAGACAGACAGACGGACGGACGGACGAGAAATATCGCAACTAAACATTAGCAGCATAATATGTAATGTTCTCGTATATAAAAATTTTTACGTATATAAACCAGTAGAGAAGAATATAAAATATATTTTATATGCATTTGTATAATTTTGCACATTTTATTCCGGCAACAGATTAGCTTGGTCGATGCTGTGGCGGGCGCTTGCATGACCCACTGTAGTTGCTATGATGAACGCTGTACTACTGTATGCGCTTCTGCATGCGCTTCTCAATGCGCTACACTTTTCCATATCGCGCAATCCTTTCACAATACTTTTTATATGTGTGCATATCACTGTGTTTGTCGCCGTGTTTATATGAGTATGCAAGTGTACGAGTGTGTGTGTACGGTTGTGACTTTATGCACATATATTATGTGTCGGTAAGTACCGTTATAATAGTTTCATTCGAGACAGTTTGTGGGAAAAATCCGCTGTTTATACTTATGCATTAGTTTGTTGGTGTTATTGTTGTTGTTGTTGTTGTTGTTGTTGTTGTTGCTGCTGCTGTTGCTATTGCTGTAATTGTTGTTGGAGAACTTTTCTAGACTTCTGGTAGATTTCTTTTTTCAATTTTTTTGTTTTTTTTTTTTTGTTGGAGAAACTTTGAAGTTATGTGCAAGTTGCTCGCTTTCTGCTCATTTCATTCTATTTTGTTTGCAGCACAATTTAATGCTATTTTTATGCATACAACATTTGCACTGCACTGTATTATATATTACGCGATTATATACATATGTACAGATGCAAATATGTACTGCAGTCTGTTTGAAAATATGTCTTGACTGGCATTGTGCGATAGTAAAAGTATATAAAACTTTTCAACAAATTCACTTTCATTTTCCGTTTTAACTGATGACGTCGCAGCTGTGCACTTTATGACTATATAACGGAGCAGCACCATCAGTCGGAGAGGCATACGTATATGATGACATACGTACGGAGCTGGATAGTACCACCACATCACCGCGTTGGCAATAACTAATTTAGTTACTCATAGTTGGCAGCAAATGCTGCAGATACATTCGCTACACTACTTAAGCTTTGTTATTGCTCATGTTATGACACACTTAAGTGCCTCTATTATGAGGTTAAAAACTTTTTTACCGGTATTAAGTGTGAATTTTATAAAAAAAAAAATGTGTAACAAAAGATTGCAGTGAAAGAAAGAAACACACTCTCTTACCACCGTACAAGGAGGGCAGAAGACACAACTTTTGCTTAATTGTTTTAATGAGTTTTAATTGTTTTAAAACAAGTGAAATTCTTACCATTTAATTTTGACTTAATTAGCATAATTTTAAATAAACTTTTTAGTTTCTTAAATCAATTATTTTCAAAACAACTAGAAAATATTTTTATAGTATTTTAATAATTGTTACAAATGAAGTAAAAACTTCTAGTACTTTCACTGGTACTACTAATAGGAATGGGACACTAACACTACCCCAAGATAGGCTTAACAGAAAACGATTAGCGCGAGGCATGCAACATATTTAGAACAAAGGTACTTTAGCATATATGCTGTATGAATACACGAGCTTTAAAAGGCACCAATGAAAATTTAGCCATGATCTGTCATAATTTAATATGACAAGAGAAAAATATAGCAAAAGAGAAAAGAGACAAAATTCTATTTTCCATACAAACCATAGGACTTTATGGAAAATTCGCAAATCCTCATAACAGAAAGATGAGTTGCTTTCAAAATAACTATAATTCTAAGGATCCGGTTATATATAGGTTATTTTCCCTTCTTAATAGAGGGTAGAATATACTTACGATAATGCGTGTATGTTAATATTTTGTGGAGTATAAATGGTTATGAGTGAGTTTCATTGAACCGAAGATGTAAATATGATGCAATAGGAATCATATCTCTGTTGGCTGTGGTTAAAACCCATTTCCACTTGACGTAGAATTATATTTTTCAACTGTATAATATGATCCAAAGAAAAGTAGAGGGATTAGATAAACCTCGCTTCCTTCTAATAAGCAAACTATATTCAAACTTATAGCTACAATTGATACTGGCGAAATTGAATTCGACGCAATTCAAAAGGAGCAGTTATATTCGCATTGTACTAATATGGGTGTTTCAAAACCCTTAGTCCTGTTAATAAATTATGGACTTCAATGGTTACATTTTCTACTAATCAAATATGGATGAGTTCAAGCTAAATGCTCAAATAAATAAGCATACTCAAACATGCCTAATCACGCTAATTTTCCCTACTAGACTTCCGATAAAATAATGATGATATTCAGGTCCATTTAACTCTTTTGTGTTCTATTTAATAATTCATGAGATTATTAAATTGACCCAAATTATTAAATTGGAGAATTAAATACAGGATATATTGGTTTATTCTTCAATAAATTGATTAAATAGAGGATATATTGAATTGTTCTCCAATATTGGAGGCGCCTTTTTAAACACTCTGTTGTTGTTTATTTTCTACACAATTCGTTTCAAGCTCAATACACTAAGGTATTAAATATGCTTATTTGAAGCAAAAATCAATTTCTTACAATTTTTGTAAGATCCAATAATAATCACCAAACCGTTTAAAATGTTCCATAGCACATATATGATACACATATAAGATTATGTAAGTTATATCTCACATATCACCGCACAGTATTGATATTTCGAATTATAATATCTTTAAATAAATAACTTTTATTTTGCATATAAACTTGGTTTCATGTTTTTGCTTACTATTATTTAGAAAAATGTTTTCCTTGTTTTGTAAAATGTCACGTACTTACGTCATGATTTTATATAAAAAAGGCTTAATGGAATTCCAGACGATGATTGCACAACACCCACTTACGCATTTGCTGTGCACAATTGTCACGTAAATAGGACTGCACACAAGAGAAGCATGACCTCGGAAACTCATAAATAGTCTCACATAGAGAAGAAACACAGGAACATACCATTTAAATTCCTTAACGTCTTTTTGACATAGTCGTATATGAATTTTGATAAAATTAGCTTCAAGTTATTTGACCTTTCTAATCGTATAAATAAAAAAATGATTTCAAAATTAAAAATCGAGAAACAAGTGTTGTAAGTTTAACATTCAATTATCTAAAATAGATAATGCATATTGTGTCTGTAAGGTGTCCTTTGACATGAGTCAAGGGAAAAGAAATATAAATATGCCTTAGTTGTCCTTTCAAGAGAATTGGGTGTGAAATTATTTTGCTGTTAATTAAAAACATGTCAACGAGAAATTATACTTCATTAAAAAAATTTGTTGTAACACATATTCCCGTTAATTCCCTTTATTCATAAAAAATATGAAAAATTACTAAAACTTCATTTTAATAAAATACTAGTACTAGTATAATGGAATATAAAGGACGTACCAAACAAAATTTGTAACAGACGTAGGAACAAAACGAAATCGTGAAAGAAATTTATATGTAGCTAAAATATTACCAATTCCACAAAATAACTAAGGGACACA